ATAGTGGGCTATTTTCAAAAAAATATCGATTTTATATCTATATTAGCATTCTTTATCATTTATAATACCTAGATATGTTTTAAAATGCAATTTATAGCATTTTTGGTTTTGATCATAGTAGGCTATTTTCAAAAAAATATCGATTTTATATTTATATTAGCATTCTTTATCATTTATAATACCTAGATATGTTTTAAAATGCAATTTAAAGCATTTTTGGTTTTGATCATAGTAGGCTATTTTCAAAAAAAATATCGATTTTATATCTATATTAGCATTCTTTATCATTTATAATACCTAGATATGTTTTAAAATGCAATTTTTAGCATTTTTGGTTTTGATCATAGTAGGCTATTTTCAAAAAAATATCGATTTTTTATCTATATTAGCATTCTTTATCATTTATAATACCTAGATATGTTTTGAAATTCAATTTATAGCATTTTTGGTTTTGATCATAGTAGGCTATTTTCAAAAAAATATCGATTTTATATCTTTATTAGCATTCTTTATCATTTATAATACCTAGATATGTTTTAAAATGCAATTTAAAGCATTTTTGTTTTTTGATCATAGTAGGCTATTTTCAAAAAAATATCGATTTTATATCTATATTAGCATTCTTTATCATTTATAATACCTAGATATGTTTTAAAATACAATTTAAAGCATTTTTGGTTTTATATCAAAGTAGGCTATTTTCAAAAAAATATCGAATTTACATCTATATTAGCATTCTTTATCATTTATAATACCTAGATATGTTTTAAAATGCAATTTAAAGCATTTTTGTTTTTCGATCATAGTAGGCTATTTTCAAAAAAATATCGATATTATATCTATATTAGCATTCTTTATCATTTATAATATCTAGATATGTTTTTAAATGCAATTTATAGCATTTTTGGTTTTGATCATAGTAGGCTATTTTCAAAAAAATATCGATTTTATATTTATATTAGCATTCTTTATCATTTATAATACCTAGATATGTTTTAAAATGCAATTTAAAGCATTTTTAGTTTTGATCATAGTAGGCTATTTTCAAAAAAATATCGATTTTATATCTATATTAGCATTCTTTATCATTTATAATACCTAGATATGTTTTAAAATGCAATTTTTAGCATTTTTGGTTTTGATCATAGTAGGCTATTTTCAAAAAAATATCGATTTTTTATCTATATTAGCATTCTTTATCATTTATAATACCTATAAATGTTTTAAAATACAATTTAAAGCATTTTTGGTTTTGATCAAAGTAGGCTATTTTCAAAAAAATATCGATTTTATATCTATATTAGCATTCTTTATCATTTATAATACCTAGATATGTTTTGAAATTCAATTTATAGCATTTTTTGTTTTGATCATAGTAGGCTATTTTCAAAAAAATATCGATTTTATATCTTTATTAGCATTCTTTATCATTTATAATACCTAGATATGTTTTAAAATGCAATTTAAAGCATTTTTGTTTTTTGATCATAGTAGGCTATTTTCAAAAAAATATCGATTTTATATCTTTATTAGCATTCTTTATAATTTATAATACCTAGATATGTTTTAAAATGCAATTTAAAGCATTTTTGGTTTTGATCATAGTAGGCTATTTTCAAAAAAATATCGATTTTTTATCTATATTAGCATTCTTTATCATTTATAATACCTATAAATGTTTTAAAATACAATTTAAAGCATTTTTGGTTTTGATCAAAGTAGGCTATTTTAAAAAAAATATCGAATTTACATCTATATTAGCATTCTTTATCATTTATAATACCTAGATATGTTTTAAAATGCAATTTAAAGCATTTTTGTTTTTTGATCATAGTAGGCTATTTTCAAAAAAATATCGATTTTATATCTTTATTAGCATTCTTTATCATTTATAATACCTAGATATGTTTTAAAATGCAATTTAAAGCATTTGATTTTTGATCATAGTAGGCTATTTTCAAAAAAATATCGATTTTATATCTTTATTAGCATCCTTTATCATTTATAATACCTAGATATGTTTTAAAATGCAATTTAATTTGTTTTTTGATCATAGTAGGCTATTTTCAAAAAAATATCGATTTTATATCTTTATTAGCATTCTTTATCATTTATAATACCTAGATATGTTTTAAAATGCAATTTAAAGCATTTTTGTTTTTTGATCATAGTAGGCTATTTTCAAAAAAATATCGATTTTATATCTTTATTAGCATTCTTTATCATTTATAATACCTAGATATGTTTTAAAATGCAATTTAAAGCATTTGATTTTTGATCATAGTAGGCTATTTTCAAAAAAATATCGATTTTATATCTTTATTAGCATCCTTTATCATTTATAATACCTAGATATGTTTTAAAATGCAATTTAAAGCATTTTTGTTTTTTGATCATAGTAGGCTTTTTTCAAAAAAATATCGATTTTATATCTATATTAGCATTCTTTATCATTTATAATACCTAGATATGTTTTAAAATGCAATTTAAAGCATTTTTGTTTTTTGATCATAGTAGGCTATTTTCAAAAAAATATCGATTTTATATCTATATTAGCATTTGTTTTCATTTATAATTCCTAGATATGTTTTAAAATGCAATTTAAAGCATTTTTGGTTTTGATCATAGTAGGCTATTTTCAAAAAAAACGATTTTATATCTTTATTAGCATTCTTTATCATTTATAATACCTAGATATGTTTTAAAATGCAATTTAAAGCATTTTTGTTTTTTGATCATAGTAGGCTTTTTTCAAAAAAATATCGATTTTATATCTATATTAGCATTTGTTTTCATTTATAATTCCTAGATATGTTTTAAAATGCAATTTAAAGCATTTTTGGTTTTGATCATAGTAGGCTATTTTCAAAAAAAAACGATTTTATATCTTTATTAGCATTCTTTATCATTTATAATACCTAGATATGTTTTAAAATGCAATTTAAAGCATTTTTGTTTTTTGATCATAGTAGGCTTTTTTGAAAAAAAAATATCGATTTTATATCTATATTAGCATTTGTTTTCATTTATAATTCCTAGATATGTTTTAAAATGCAATTTAAAGCATTTTTGGTTTTGATCATAGTAGGCTATTTTCAAAAAATATCGATTTTTTATCTATATTAGCATTCTTTATCATTTATAATACCTAGATATGTTTTAAAATACAATTTAAAGCATTTTTGGTTTTTGATCATAGTAGGCTATTTTCAAAAAAATATCGATTTTATATCTATATTAGCATTCTTTATCATTTATAATACCTAGATATGTTTTAAAATGCAATTTATAGCATTTTTGGTTTTGATCATAGTAGGCTATTTTCAAAAAATATCGATTTTATATCTATATTAGCATTCTTTATCATTTATAATACCTAGATATGTTTTAAAATACAATTTAAAGCATTTTTGGTTTTGATCATAGTAGGCTATTTTCAAAAAAATTTCGATTTCATATCTATATTAGCATTATTTATCATTTATAATACCTAGATGTTTTAAAATGCAATTTGAAGCATTTTTGGTTTTTGATCATAGCAGATCATAGTAGGCTATTTTCAAAAAATATCGATTTTATATCTATATTAGCATTCTTTATCATTTATAATACCTAGATATGTTTTAAAATACAATTTAAAGCATTTTTGGTTTTGATCATAGTAGGCTATTTTCAAAAAAATTTCGATTTCATATCTATATTAGCATTATTTATCATTTATAATACCTAGATGTTTTAAAATGCAATTTGAAGCATTTTTGGTTTTCGATCATAGCAGATCATAGTAGGCTATTTTCAAAAAATATCGATTTTATATCTATATTAGCATTCTTTATCATTTATAATACCTAGATATGTTTTAAAATACAATTTAAAGCATTTTTGGTTTTGATCATAGTAGGCTATTTTCAAAAAAATTTCGATTTCATATCTATATTAGCATTATTTATCATTTATAATACCTAGATGTTTTAAAATGCAATTTGAAGCATTTTTGGTTTTTGATCATAGTAGGCTATTTTCAAAAAAATATCGATTTTACATCTATATTAGCATTTGTTATCATATCGTAGACTCATGCGGTTTCGAGTGAATGAAAGTACTAAGCTAAACCTTTCCAAAAATGTATAAAACTTTTATGAAATTTTATTAGTTTTACCAGAAAAAGCAAAATAAATTCTGAGAATTTACGAAATTTTCATACATTTTTCACAATTTTCACACTTTTTTATTGATTTCTCTCTTGTCTCATACTTTTTCCTAGCTTGTGATATATCAATGGAATGCTATTGAAAAATGAAAGAAAAAAAGATGAACAGCATCTAATAACAATGCGCAGTTATCGAGAAAAATTAATTTAAATAGTGAAAATTTAGGTTAGGAAAACTCGTGAAAAACTCAATGAAAATTCTGAAACTTATACGAATTATTAACATTTATATAAGAAATGAGTGTGCAAAATTTGAAAGCTTTTCATAAAGTCGTTGCTGAGAAAAATGAAAACCATTAAAAACTTGCATATATAAAATGCGTATTTTACATAAAGTGACTATATTACTTGCAAATTTTCCAAAACTTTTCTTGTCATCATATTGGAAATTTGATGAGCTTTCGAAAAATATATAACTTTAATAGGTTTCATGGAAAAATAAGGGATAAATTTGTAAAATATAAAAATTTCTAATTGTTTGTCTACTCACTTTAATTCAGCAGAATAAAAATAAGTTCTTCAGAATTATTCTGGTTGATTTTTTTTTGTCACATCCATGTCACGCAACATTCATCAGAATTATTCTGTTGTTATCAGAATTATTCTGTCTATCCTATGCAACACACCCGTTTAAAGCCAATTGGAATCATTAAATCACTGATTTTCAGCAGCGTCATGTTTTATTAATGCATTTAATTTTTAAACGCTTTTTATTGTTCATGTTGTGATCTTCATTATACAACACAAACGTAAGAAAATTTTATTAAAAGAAGCACCAAGAACCTGAACAATGAACGTAGTTGGAAAGAAACGAGGCAAAGGTAGTGTTTAAAACTGAATAATCTACAAGAATTAAAATAATTCCTTCAATTTTCCAGAATATAAGCAAGCTTTGAATTTTGAGATTAAAGATGATGTAAATCCAGAGAAAATAGTCAATAAGCGATTATTACAGTAAGCTTCATGCATCTCAAGTATAGGATGTTAAAAACACAATATTTGCAGCCATTTCAAATAGATCTCATTCATAAATTCTTGAATATCTCACTTATTGTTGTACTTCCAGTGAACTCAGCACGAGCACGAATAATCCAAGCACATTAAATGACTCGACATTGATTCTATCATTAACTGAAGGAAGAGGACAGGCTCGAGGAGAAGTTGGAATTGCAGCATTAAACATCGACTCTCCATACATTATTTTATGCCAATTAAGTGATGGAATTCATTATACAGATACAATCAACAAGATCCAAGTTCTAAATCCATCTAAAATTCTCCTGCCAGACACAATCTTTGAGACAGTTCCACTGCCAAAATTAATAGAACGGATTAAAGAGAACTTTCCAAACATCTCGATAATTCCTATTCAACGAAGGCACTTTAATGATAAATTTGGATACGAACAGATATCAAAATTGTGCAGTCGAAAGTCATTCAACATATTACAAATCATATCCCGGAAATATTATTGTTTATCATCTGCGTCTGCCCTCTTAAGTTACTTAAAAAATGTTGCATTGGTTAATTTTGCTGAAAGCTGTCTAAAAGTCGATTATCAAACAAAAGGCGGCATGATGATCGATACACAAACATCTGTACGACTAGAACTGCTCTACAGTTTAAATATAGAGTCAAGTGCTTCTAAGAAATTCTCTCTTTATGATCTGTTGAATAAGTGTGAGACGAGAATTGGTCAACGACATTTACGAGCAAATATTTTGGAACCTTCATGCGATGTTGAGTTTATAGAGAAGCGTCATGAACAGATAAAAATATTAATAGATAATGAGGATGCTCAAACATGCTTGAAGGAAAATTTGAAAAATTTTCGAATGGTTGAAACACTTCTCAAGATTTCTTGTATCACACCGGTTAATGATCTCGAAAAAGCCATACAGACCAACATTCACTTGGCATTACTGCTTAAAAATAGTCTGGAGGCTGTAAAACCTCTTGCTGCGATTGTTTCTGAGCTTTCTAGTGAATCATTCGAAGATGCTCAACTGTTATTATCATCGGATATATTTAATGATTTAATTGCGAAGATTAATATACTAGTTCAGCCAAATATCCACGAGAATCGCCTAGCACAGAAGCATTATCAATACCTTTATGCTGTTCGTAGTAACTGTAATGAAACTATCGATTTTCTAAGGCATATTTACTCAGAAACTGTCGATAAAATCCGTGTTTATGTTGATGAATTGACAGAAAAGTCCCTATTGCCGATTAAATTGATACATTCAACTAAGCTTGGATACCACTTGGTGCTCAAAAGTATCAACAATTGCTTACAAGCTCCATCTACGTTTGAAACGATTTACAAGAAGGGAAATAATGTGTACATGACAACAGCTGAATTGATCACGTATAATGACAAAACTATGCTAATCTGTAAGTACTGTTCACGGATTTATTATGAAGTACCTTTTCTCAAGAGTTTTTTTTTCTAAACTTTGAAAATCTTTTTAGCCAATGACTTGATTCGTTTGAGTAACACCTTACTCTGTGATTTATTATTTGAAGCTGCAAAGGAAATTGATGCAATTTATCATCTAATTGGAGTTATCATAGACTTGGATATTGCTCAATCACTCGCTGAAATTGCTAAACTTGAATCATTTTGCTGTCCAACATTTACACGTGTCTTACGATTAGAAGATGCATATCATCCAATGCTTCAAGGAAGTCGCACCAAAGTTGATGTGATTAAAAATAATGCAATTGCAACGCCACAGTATAATTTTTATCTTATTACTGGCCCAAATATGAGCGGAAAGACTGTCTACATAAAAATGATTGCAATAATTCAAATCATGGCACAAATTGGAAGCTTTTTGCCAGCAAAGACAGCCACAATACGACTGTGTGATAAGATATTTTCACGGCTTGGATTTCAAGATAACATTGAGCAGAATGCGTCAAGTTTTTCTGTTGAACTTCGTGATATGGACTACATTTACAATAATTTGACACCAAATAGTCTTATCATTATGGACGAATTATGTCGCAGTACTGATCCACAGGTAGGCTAATTGATTCTATCTAATTTGTCAGATTTTTACATTTTCATGGCTCTTTAGGAAGGAGAAGCACTGTGCTATGCATTTTGTGAGAAGCTTTTAAGCTTTATTGGAATATCATACGATGATTACTTCCAAATTTCATCTGAAAATGACAATTCCCAGACTAATAAAAGTGCTGGTTCCAAATCATCTTCTTCATTGAACATAAAAGGAGCTAATATTAAATTAAAGGATATTGCTCGTCCATTCATTTTCTTAACGACTCATTTTTCGGAATTAACAAAACTATCTGAAAAGTACAACAATGCCATCAAGTAAGTTCTATTCTGATTTAATTACGAATTATTTGTGCCCAATAAATACCTATACTTGCATATATCTTTAAGTATACCTTATATCTTTTAGCTATCATGCCTTTTTAAAGCTAAGTGTTCTTCTCCAAGACTGAAAGTCTACAAACATTTTTGGCTTTAACCAGATCAATTTCTACCAAGACTGAGTTTTGTAATTTTAAAGTATGAAATTTCATACAAAAATCAGAACTTTGATCTTTTTTGACAGCTTCAATTCCAACTATACTTATGATTGGGCATAGAGAAGAATTGTAGTGTTCTAAATTACATATATTTTGATCATGTTTCGTTTCTTCGTTATGAGTTTCTATTTGTGAATAGAGACCTTTATGCAAATATAGTTATTGGATTAGAGTTTTGATTGTAGCCATGGAATCGAAGAATTTTCGATGCAAGAAACCTATTTTAAGTTTTTTATGGTGGTTTTTGAAATAAATAAAACATTCAAATTTATGTTTCTGCAAATCGGTCCTTTAAGGGACCCCCTACTACCAGTACAAAAAAAAATCTTTCCAACGGTAAGAAATATTTCAAATTTGTATTGTTTATGTAAAGTAAATTTATGATTAAAACCAGTCTGGATTTCAAAAAAGGAAAAAATAATTAATTAGTATACAAGTATGGAAGATGATAAAGATATATTTGAACAAGCATTAGATGTTTCAAGAAAGTGTCTGCTGCCAACGCTATTAGAGGATTTTGACAAGCAACCAATTGATAAAAGTGATTTTATAAGATTTGGGCAAAAAATCAAAGAAAATATTCACTTATTATTGGATATTCTTCTTCAAAGTAAACTTTTAGATGGTGACATTAATAATGATATAGTTCAAATTCAAAGAAATTTAGTACTGATATATTGTGAGCAATGTGAGCAGAACATGTTTTCGTGCTGTAATGATAAAAGTATTGAAATATTGAGGAACATAATATTTGAGAACATCAAAAAAAGGACATTTAATGAGACTGTATTCCTTGATTTAATTGCTTACTATAAGAAGTCATTAAAATGTGAAACATGGAAGAAAGAGTTTGGTGCTGTTCATGGTTTTCCATCATTCTGTCAAATTATCATGCAGTTTAAAGCAAGATTAATAACTAAGGATTATGTGATGTTTATGCTATCTGTTGGATCAAATTTAAATTATCATTATGAGCTATTCATTAAGACATTAGGATTGAAAGTCTACAAAAACATCTTGGATTTCGGAAAGAATAATGATTTGATTGAGGAAATGAATATCCATCATGCAATCTCCGTTGAAATTCTTCCTCTCATACAAAAAAGCAACGAGGATGATCTGTTCAATCGATTGATCTACGATTGTCTATTCTATATTATTCTTATTAATAAGCAGTCATGCAGTTCAAAATGGTCTAAATATGATGACATCATGTCTAAACTCTTGACACACTTTGCCTTTGTGAGTGATATGGAACTAAGCAAATATTTAATTTTCCAAATTGCAAAGTTTTGTAGCATTGGACTGAATTTATATGAATTAAAATCTCTAGAAAAGTTGAATATTGACGATCAACAATATTTAATAAACCTTAAAACAGAAATCGATGCTTCAACTAGGACATCATTTAGATGGACAAAAGCTTTAATGGAAACAATCATAAGAGAATCAACACGTTTCATGCATAAAGTAGACGATTCGATGCTTTTTTTATACGTTCTAAATATATTGTGCATCCTTATTGGATCTGAAACTGATGAATTTAAAGACATAACAATGAAATTAATCGTCATATTGATGAAGTTCTTGCGACTACATAATTTAGAAAACAAAATTGCAAACCTAGTATTGGACATTCTACGAACAATAGAAAGTCAATCAGTTGATAAAAATTTAATTGATGTTGTATCCAAACTTTGCAAACATTCTGTATTTTTTAAACCGATAAATAATTAGATTTCACAAGCTTATTCTCTTTGAAAAATTGTTTCGAACAATGAGCTTAGAATACATCAAATACTTAAATTTTTTATTTCAATCTGATTACTTGGGGTCCTCGATTTGAGTAGGTGTTTTGTTCCAAAAAAATCCTATTCAAATCGAATTATTTACTTTTTGTATGAAAAATGTCCGCTACAAAAAAATATTTTAAATTTTCTATTCATTGAATCTCGAGGACCCATAGTAATTAACTTTTTACTCAATTAGTGTTCATATGGTCGTGGAAGAAAAAATGAACGATGATAAAATTGTTCTAAATTTCAAATATAGAGTACAATCGGGTCCATCTACGTTAAAAAGCTATGGATTAGCATTATCAAATGTAAGTCATCTAACTCAACAATTTGTATAAAAATTAATTAAATTCTTTATATTATAGATGGTTCGATTTCCATCCAGCATTCTTGATAAAGCTGAAGAACTAATCACAAAAATCAATGATGAGTCCATTGTTGGATTTATAAATGCTGAAATAAAACTGAAACGTAATGAAGACTTGAGTAAATCGATTAACAACTCGACGGATGAGATCTATAATGAAATTACTGACATGGAAAAGGATGTTATTGACTTGTATTCATACATATTGCTCTTAATGAGCACTGATTCAGATAAGACTTATGACTATATAAGCGTTAGTGTTATTAATCAGAAATTGAAACAATTGATTGAGACAATGTCACCAGCTTTTCAGAATTTGCTAAAGGAAGAATCTTTAGAGCATATAATGTCTATGCTGAATGCTAGTTGTAGCTCAATTTAAGTGGCACGTGAATAAAGTTTTTCATATGTCTTAATTTTTCGGTACTTTATTTTCTTATTTCCGAAATTGAAGAACATGAAACGTCAATGAATTTAATCAGAATTTGAGCCTGAATCACTTCCGCTGTGACTTCCTGAACGACTGCCTGAATGACGAGAGCTATCAGAACCACTGTGACTACCTGAACGTCTAGAATTTGCGGAACCACTTCTGTGACTTCCTGATTGACGAGATACAGGCGAGCCTGAACGACGAGAACCACTTTGGTGACTACCTGATCGTTTTGAAACAGCAGATCCACTTCTATTGCTGCCTGATCGTTTTGAAACAGCAGATCCACTTCTATTGCTGCCTGATCGTTTTGAAACAGCAGATCCACTTCTTGAACGTTTTGAAACAGCAGATCCACTTCTATGACTGGCTGATCGTCGTGAATGTGGAGTTCCACTCTTACTGCGACTATACAGTATAAAATCAGTAAGTTAATTTATATCTAATTACAATTTTATCTTACCTTGATTGACTTGAACTTCTGCTGCGGCTTCTGGATCGCGATTTAGAATGTGGGGACCTTGACCTAGATCTTGATTTTGAGCGAGAACGTGAGTGTGAACGCGATCTGATAGGTAAAAAAAATCATTTAAAAATCTAATAAAAGTCTTAGGAGTTTCAGACATACCTCGATCCAGATTTTGACCTGCTATTTTCGATTTGCTTGCTAGGAACAATTTCAGGTTCCTCTTCTGGTTCCTCCATTTCTTCGTCTTCATCACCAGTCGGTTCCAATTGTTTCTCACGCATAACTTGCATTTTATGCTCAGCAGCATTTAATGAACGATGCTTTACAATTAATTTAGTATTAGTAGTTTGATTTCCAACTTTTTGTCGTCTCTTGCTGAGTCGAACTCTTGTCTCCAGTTCATCATAATAAACGCCATCCTCGCGAATAATAAGGAAATAATTTTCCTCGTATCCTTTTGATAATTTCGATTTGACATTCCAGTTATATTCACGTGCCATTTTATACTCATATTCAGTTTCGTCTTCATAAGATCGTTCCATTGAGAAATCAATACGTCTTTTTTCGAGAGTATCTTCTGTTGGAAGGAAGTAAGCAACGAATTGTTCACCAGACTCGTCCATAACACCACGAATCATTGCTTGACTCATTTCTTCTATTTGATTTGGTAATGATTTTCCGCTTGGTGATGGATCTGCGTCGAAAATGACTTGAGCAAATGGATATTTCCAACTCTTAAAATCTGGATAGACTGGATAAACTTCAATTGGAACGACACTTGGTTTACAATAATGCTGCTCGATTGGTTGCTTACTTTCCTCAAATGTCTTCTCAATAGCTTGTATCTGTTGATCTCTATCCATATATAATGTATCTTCACGCAGACTATTCTTGACATTATAACCGACTTTAGCTTCTGCTTTTTCCATATTTTGTGGCTGGAAACGAGTTTGTTCAGTTGAAATATATTCAGATTTACGCAACCAAGATACAGGCTTTGCATGCTTCCTAGAACGAGTTGTATCAGTCGGCGCGTGTGTATCTTCTTCAAGTAATTTCTCATCAGCTGGATCGAGGATTGATACATTACGATCTGGTTGATATAAATCCCTATTGATTAAATCAATTGTGACGCCTAAATCATGTTCAGAAAGAACTTCAAATTTGTAATTTCTTTCCAAAGAAGTTGGCTTGTATTGTGTAAATCGGTCAGAATCGAATGGAAATGCCAAAAACTTCAAATCAAATGGGATATCAGGAAGATTATTCGAATATTTTACGCGACAAATTATATCTGATCTGTAAATAAATAAAGTGAGTTTACTGGATGTTTTCATATATTTATTCCTTACTTTCGATCTTGTGGTCTGACAATTCGATCACTTTCAGCTCCATTTTGTATAGTCGGTATTGGTGCCATGCTTTTTCGATTTTCCGGCACTTTAAACGATCTTAAAGACACTTTAATTAATGAAAAACTATTGAAATTTAAGGTTTTAAAATTGGTAAACAGAAAATCGTCGTCAAACTTATCGAAACTTTTTAACGAAGAAACTTTAAAACTTTCCTTAAAAAAATCTCCGACTACAAACAATTAATTTTACTAGATCTAATCACTCAATAAATAGACTTCAACAATGGCAAACCTTAATCCAGTCGAGACAGTAGAAGAGGATGCTGCAGATTTGTTATTTCCAAAAGGTTTGACTTGAGTAATTTAATAGTTTTATTTCTCCAATAATATTTTGATCACTTTAGAATTTGAGAACGCAGAAACATTATTAATTAGCGAAGTTCACATGCTTTTGGAGCATAGAAAGAAGCAGAACGAGTCATCGGAAGAGGAACAAGAGTTTAGTGAAGTTTTCCTTAAAACCTACAATTACACAGAAAACTTTCGGAAGTTTAAAAATAAAGAGACAATTACTGCCGTCCGAGCATTATTGAGTTCAAAGAAGCTTCACAAATTTGAGCTGGCTGCTTTAGGAAATTTATGTCCTGAAACTCCAGAGGAAACAAAAGCATTGATTCCGTCCTTAGAAGGACGATTTGAGGATGAACAACTAAGAGAGATTCTTGATGATATTGGCACTAAGAGAAGTCTTCAATATTAAATTGTATTGCTGATATGTTAATTAAGGAAATAATGAAAATAAATCTTTTATGGATAGAAAAAAAATCAACGAATTTTTCAAATTTAAAAATATTTCGTTGATTTGAATTGTGTGTAGGTACATAAAAGCATACAGATTGGAGTAAATTACATGGATCATTTTTTTTTTTGTATTTTGAAACTGGGTCATAAATTATTAAAATTAATTAATTTCTGTGGCTTATCGTTAATTTTAATTGATTAATTATTATGGCTAGTATTCGCGCAAAAGGATTGTTCTCAACGATGAGTCGTGTAAAGAGGATTAGTTTATTGAATTGTAAGTATGAGATGATATGAAATAAAGTCATCAATTTTGAACTTTGGACTTGAGAAAAATAAAGTCTAATTTCAATGTTATCTAACTTATTTAAGCCTCTTTTATGCACGTTACACGAAATTGTGCATCGATATCATCTGAAAAGCACATTAAGACAACTATTGTTGACGATGTACTGGTTGTTAAGCTTGATTCCCCAAATTCAAAAGTTAATTCACTCGGTGCACAAATAACATCAGAATTTGAGGCTGTTCTTAAGGATTTTGAAACTAACCCAAATATTCGATCAGCTGTGTTGATTTCTGGTAAGCCATCATGCTTTATTGCCGGCGCAGATATATCAATGCTCGAGCAATGTAAAACTGAAAATGATGCAAGAAAAATAAGCCACGAAGCTCAATTAATGTTCAATAGAATGGAGAAGTCTTCAAAACCAATAGTTGCCGCAATTAATGGGAGCTGTCTTGGCGGTGGATTAGAACTTGCACTTGCTTGTCATTATAGAATTGCCACAAAAGACAGAAAAACAGGACTAGGTCTTCCCGAAGTTATGCTAGGCTTATTACCAGGTGCAGGCGGGACTCAGAGACTCCAAAAGTTAACTTCTATACCAACAACACTCGATTTAACACTTACAGGCAAGACTGTTAGAGCTGATAAGGCTAAGAAATTAGGAATTGTTGATATGCTAGTAGATCAACTTGGTCCAGGAATTTATGATCCAACAACAAACACAATGAATTACTTGGAAAGAGTCGCAATAAATGTAGCGAAGGATATTGCGTCCGGCAAGCTTAAAGTCAATCGCGAAAAGACTGGTTTAGTACATAAAGTCACAGAATATGCAATGAGTCTTGAATTCGTAAAGAATTTCATTTTCAAAAAAGCACGCGATCAAGTCATGAAAATGTCAGCTGGACTTTACCCAGCACCATTGAAAATTTTAGATGTAGTACGAATCGGTGCTGATAAAGGATTCGAGGCTGGTCTAGAAGCAGAAAGAGAAGGATTTGGTCAATTATCGCAAACATCACAAAGTAAAGGATTAATTTCACTTTTTAGAGGTCAAACCGAATGCAAAAAGAATCGTTTTGGTAAACCAACACGTCATGTTAAAAATGTAGCCGTTCTTGGTGCCGGTTTGATGGGAGCAGGAATTGTTCAAGTAACAGTCGATAAAGGATATAATGTTGTGATGAAAGATGCCACTGAAGGCGGATTAGCAAAAGGAATTGGACAGATTCAAAAGGGATTTGATACAGCAATCAAGAAGAAAAAAATCACTAGCATAGAAAAAGATAAGATAATGAGCAATCTGATTCCAACATTATCTTATGATCAATTTAAAAATGCTGATATTGTGGTTGAGGCTGTTTTTGAGAACCTTGATATTAAGCATCGCGTCATCAAAGAAATGGAGGCGTTCATTCCAAAACATTGTATTATAGCCACAAATACAAGTGCCTTACCAATCACAAAAATTGCAGCCGGTTCATCACGTCCAGATCAAGTCATTGGAATGCATTATTTTTCGCCAGTTGACAAGATGCAGCTCTTAGAAATTATCGCACATCCAGGAACGTCACATGAAACAAAAGCTGCTGCCGTAGAATTAGGATTAAAGCAAGGAAAAGTTGTCATTACAGTTGGTGATGGTCCTGGATTTTACACAACAAGAATTTTATCAGCAATGTTATCTGAAGTCATACTTATCATGCAAGAAGGAACCAGTCCAACAGATATGGATAAATTGTCAAAAACCTTTGGATTCCCTGTCGGATTAGCTACTTTAATCGATGAGGTGTGTTACGTATTTTCTGTTATCGCATTTGTTAATGTCATAGACCGAAACTTTTTGTTTTTGTAAATCTTAGGATTTAAATTAAGCTGAGTTGAACTAATAATTTTCAATCCTTTCAAAAGGTTGGTGTTGATGTTGGTGCACACATTTCCGATGATTTGGCTAAAGCCTTTGGAGATAGATTGAAAGGAGGTGATTTGAACTTAATGAAAGACATGGTAAGTAGAAATTGTCTTTTAAAATCTTAAGACATATTTAAAAATTACACATTACAGGTCAAAGCTGGATTTTTAGGAAGAAAATCAGGCAAAGGAATATACGTCTATGACGGTGGCAAGAAAGGATCACGCGACATCAATCCAGAAGCAGAAGCAATCATTAAACAAAAATATTCACTTGTCTCGAAGGGTGCAAATACACCTGAAGATTTACAGTTAAGAATGGTCTCTAGATTTATTAATGAAGCTGTTTTGTGCCTTGAAGAGAAAATCTTAGATAGCCCATTAGAAGGAGATATTGGTGAGTAGACAATTGTGCTATTAAAGGTTAACAGTTATTCATGGAAAGTTTTAAATTCAGGTGCTGTATTTGGACTAGGCTTCCCACCGTTTTCAGGCGGTCCTTTCAGATTTGTTGACTCTTATGGAGCTGAGAAGTTTGTCGGTAAAATGAAGTCATTTGCTGATTTGTATGGCGCACCATTCCAACCTGCACAGACACTTCTCGATATGGCTAAAGACTCGTCCAAAAAATTCTACCCTAAGTAAGAAATATGCATTGCCTACAATCATTTCATCATGATAAATAGCATTTTTAAATGTTTATATGTGCTCTCGCCGATAAAACGGAAGCAAAATTTGTTTTTTAAGAAGAAAAAGCTATTGTACTAAAATTAATTGAATAAAGTTGTTTTTAAATTTTTTAAAATGTCCAATGAATGAAATCAAATATATCTTTTTTTACTTCAAAATTTATCATCTTTATCCGTCTTTCCTCTATTTCTCCATAAAATATTTAAGTTATAAACCATTGTGAATAAAAAAAAATATATTTAACATCTTATTATAGCCACATTTTGCACAGTTTCTTTTTAAATTGAAATTAAAAGATATTTCTTCGCCCAAAAATGTTTTAACATTCATAGAATTTACATCTCATGGACGTTATATTAATGGCAACTTTATACATCTATTGCAATTAATTATTCCACATTTCCTCTCGTGCTTTTGCAGCAAGTAATTTCCGTTCTGTAAATTTAAATTACCATTTTTGAGATTAAAATTTTAAATCAAATTTTGCATTTTAAAATTTTAGCGGATTTCAAAAATTTAAAATTTTGCTGTTTAATGTTCAAAATTTTTGAGAACCGATAAATCTCAAATTTTAATAAATTAACCAAATCATTTTAAATGCATAATAGAAGTTATGACAAACCTTTAGCTTCTCGGAGAACTCTTCTTTCATTTTCTCTTTCCTCACTTGTTGCTTTTATTCGTACGCCAAGTGCACCTATAAAAAGAAACATGCAGTAGCATTTTGTCATCATATGAAATCATTAATCTTTATAACATACCACTAACTAGTCGTTTCGCAAGTGCTGCACATGTTTCGGGTCTTTGTCGATAAGGTTGTAAGGAACTAGAAGATTTACTGTGTAAAAAAAAGGACTACATTAGTTATACTGCAAGTTTATGTTGATGAGAAGACATACCGAGCCTTAGTACGTGATTCTGGAGTACCTTCATTTAATGGTTTGACTTTTACAATCGGATGACTTGCAGTTAATACTTCGGCAGCTGTAATAAATTATATGATTTTTATACGAAATAAAATTAATAATGAGTGATTTACCAATTTTCGAACTGCTAAAAACAACCAGGCAATGTGTATCATCCACCCAGATTATATTAAAGCCAGATTCTCTCGTGTAAGGCGCAAATAAATTCATTAAATCTTGTGTTCGAAACTCGACTGGGAAATTCGAGCATTCTAATACGTGCGGATACTCTTCGTCTCTTAACAGATCGACATTCGAGTGATACGCTTTATAATCTGATTTCGGTTTCTGAATTTGAACTTTCCCTACAGCTTTTGTGATTTCTTCGACCATTTTCGGATCCAAACAGTCGCCATTGTCATCGAATCTACATGGAAAATAAAGTAATTGATCACCTTAAACTAATTATAGAGCTTTTTGGAACTTACAATGTGTCCCAATCATCTTCATCATTATTCACAGCCTTATCTGCATTTACACCGCAAGCGGTTTCAATTTCCAGCACATTTGAGTTAAAAGTCTGCTTTATAAGCTTTCGATTGCTTCTGTTAATCTCTTGTGATGCTTTCATCAACTCTTTCTCATCTTTGTCAATTTTATTGCTGTCTGCCTCGTTGGAAATAATGAATTCTTTCTCGGTCTGTTGGCTACTCATTGTACAAAAATTGTTATGATTCTTCTGATCTTTTGTTATATCTTCAGACACGGTAATTGTCTTATCCTCATTCAAGTTTTGGTTTAAAAGATCACAGTTTATTGATGATGATCGAGAGTGAATTGAATTTATCACAGTACAGTCTCGAAATCGATTTTGAGTTATTGTTGGTGGTGATGATTGATCGATGTCGTTCGATTCCTCTGAATTTGTGGATGTCGAAGAGCTGGTCTCGTCAATTGATTTCGACTTTTCAGACTTTTTTGTATGAGATTTTACTGATGTGCTGCTTGTCGGTGGAGTTGTTTGACTTCGTTTTGCTCGTGGAACATAAAATGCTCGTTCTGGACGTCTCGTTCGCGAATGTCTATGAATATATTTGCATTGTTTAATAAACTAATCAAAATGAAATTTAAATCACATACTTTTTTGAATCGTCTGACAATGAAATTTTATCAGATTTGTAGCATGAACTGTCTCTTTCTTCAATTGTTTGATGCGATACTATTGCTGTGGATTAATGAATTAATCAAAAATCTATTGTCATATCCCAACATGTGCCTCCTAGTCCTTATTCTTCAAAATTTGAATCTTCGAAGGTTCTTTTTTTCGAAATCGATTTGAATTAATCATTAAATTTTTTTTGTGATAAATCTTAATTATACTTAAGTTTGTTGTTTTACATGACTATTAATAATTGACGAGCGAAATAATCTGTTTGAGACATTAAAAACATTCCTTTTCGTAGGTATGTAAATTTTCCCAAATTGTGATTTCGAATTATTTCCGGTAAATGTAAACAAATAAAACTTTTCATTTCAAAAAATAAAGCTGTTTTTCTTCTGAAGGCACATGTTGGGGCATTACTCCTACGTACGCAAGCATATTTTGATTTTATGTCAATAAAATTCACTTTCAAACTATTGTGCGTCATAAGTATACGACACATCAGAAATGCAGGCATGCAATTTCTTTATCTCAGACAAAAATCAGCTGATCGACATAATGTCGGCAATACTCAAACAGACGTTATTACATAAACTATTCATTCACGCTTATTATATGAATAAGAAGGCATCATCACAGCCGCATAACAAAAATAATACTACTCTTTCTTTCTTTCTTTTCGGTTTCAATACCTTTCAAACTTTATATTATGTGTCTGCAGTATAAATTGTTGTTGGATAGAGCAATCTTGCAAGTAGGTCAGCTGTATTTTAAACGTAATAAATTAAATTACCAGAATATCAGCGATTGTTTACAAGTTTTGTTGATTAATTGTGTTGTTCTGCTTATCTTATCTGTTATTTCTTAAAAACACTTTTTGGACGAGAAAGATTATTGACCTTTTTCCTTCCAATCCCTTTCAATAATTTATATGTTTTGGTTACAGCGTTTAGCAATGACATGAAAAGGTTCTATCTGACGATTAGTGACGATGATAGATTTAAGATAAATAGCACAAAATCCAGCATTAACTTGACTGCTTGAGTATGAAAACACGACTAACTCTCAAAATAATTTTTCTCTCATATTGTTTATGCCAGTTAATGCTTAAAACCAATACACGAGCAGCATATGATTTCATAATCACGTTGTTGCGTGAATGAGAATGTAAACAAAAAATTACTAGAGCACTTTTGGAAGGTGAATGAGTAATGAGTAATGATTGAAAGCAATCATAATAATATTTCATAACCAGAATTTGCTGGCCACTTCTTACCATCAACGTTCTCTATTCCCATACTATGATTGCGATGCTTGTCGTTTGCTGAATATTTTGGCACGGAATTTCTCGCTACGTAAAGCCAATTAAACTCTGTTTCTTCTGTGCTGTGTATAGAATGAGTAAAAGAGTATTAATTATTTGATTTTGCTCATTAATTAATATATTTAACATCGAACTCATTGATGCGTAAAATATAAATTGGCAGTTAAGCAAGGAAAAGTTTACCTTTTGTGGGATGAATTTGGATAAATAAGCAATTGATTAATATGGCACACAACAGTTTGTCTGTAGTCCTTAATTCCGATTGAAAATGTTGTTAGGCCACAATTTATCAATTCATTGGCTAGAGAATTGCAGACTTTGTGAATTAAAAATCTGTAGTAACTATTGACAGGTGGGAAAAGTAAGATACTGGAAGTAAACGTACGAATTGAGAGAGATTGAGATTTTCTTCTTATTGCTACTACTGCTCTTTTTTTGACAAGCTAGCGACCTTGCATTATCATCCTTGCATTTTTCTTCTTATTATTATTTAAATTTAATATTTACCTGTTTTTTGTACAATTTGTAAAGTAATTCCGAATATCTCTATCGACTTTCAATACAAAATCATCATCCTGAGTTGTTAAATATCTGCCACAAAAATTGTGAGACATTTAATTTTTTGAAGAGATCCAAAAGGTTTAATTTTCAGTATTATTCACTTTTCTTTGCTTTCTTCTTATAATTTGTACTCACTGACACTGTAAAGTTCTGGTCTCTTAATTTAGCTTGCTTTAACTGACAGCAATTGCTTTTTTATTCGTCCTGTAATCACCAATTAATTAATTTATAAAATTTAAGAGTCAAATTTACCTCAAGGGCTCTTTCACTTATTACGTCACAAAAAAACGACTCAAAAGAACACCCCCCCCCCCCCCACTGTAATAAAATTTGTAAGAAAAATCATATACCATATATTTGGGGAAAAATTGTTTAAAATGTTACAAGTTTTAAAGCAACTCCCCCCCCCCCCCCCCTTTAAAAAAGGAAAACTTAATAAGTGAACGAATGAAAAACAAGATTTTTTTATATTCACACCGTTTTCACGTGTGAATCTATTGGTTTTGTTCAGATTGAAAAATCAGTTTCTCGCATTTTGCGAGGAAATAAAGCAATATAGCTTGGCATGTTCAAGATGAAAAGTTTGTGCCTGAAATTTCACACCTTCTGCAAAAAAACAGATTTCAAATTGGTTGTGGCATTGCTGAGAAAATCGCAAAATACGCTTTCTGTAAGCAAGCAAACAAGCATGCAAGTTAATCAGCAAGAAATCTCAATAACGAGACAACGTAGAGACTTCTAGTTTTTTACATTTGATCCGTGCTGCTCTTTAGAAGAGCTGTATTGTTTTTGGGCAAGTTAGGAACAACCGTTGCTTCAGAAAAAGCAAAAAACTTTCCTTTCTTACGAATTTTTTAAAACAAAAGTTGACTATGATTTTTATAAAATTCAACTTCGGATGAAAAATTTTTTTAAAACTTTTAAAGAATGCTCGTTAAGTTTTAAATCTTCAAACTTATGCTGAGTGAAGCTCAGCTGACTCGCTAGCTTTTAATCTTCAAACTAATGCTGAGCGAAGCTAAGTTGACTTATCAAGCTTAGTATCTTCATACTTATGCTGAGCAAATCTTGGTCTATCTGTAAGACTTTTGATGTGTGAATATACATATTCGCATTGGGTTTCTACCCGATACACTAGGTAAGTTGAGGTTTTTGAATATTTTATGACCGTTATATCTACATTTTTTTTAAATTAAACTTTTTGTTTATTAACATTTAAACTAAAGTATGTACAAAGTTGATACATTTTGTTGCTTTTTATAAATTAAGGTTTCAAACATACAATTGACCAATTTTTGCTTAATACGTGTTTTTTGTTAAGTTTGATTTATTCAGTGTTTCGCGTATTACCTGAGCTTAAATTTAACGTTCGTGTTGTTGACATTTATCACAATTTCGTAAAAACTGAAATTAATAAAGATTAGAAGCATATAAATTAATTAAGTAATCAAGTACGATTAAGGATATTGGATTTAAACCATCGAGAAATCTGAAAATACTTAAAATTTAAATATGAGTGGAGAATGGCAAAAATCAACAGTTTTGGATTTAATAGAAACTTACAAAGAAAATGAGAATTTGTATAATCCAAAGCATGGGTTATACTATAACAAGCAAGCACGTACCAAATCACTTGATAAAATACTTCTGACAGTACGAAAAACAAAAAGTGATGTGTCGATTAATGAGATTGTAAAGAAGATTCAGATTCTGAGAACACAGTTTGGACAGGAAGTAAATAAAATTGAGAAATCTAAAACGCTTGGAGATGAATTAACATATGTACCAAAAATCTGGTGGTTCAAAAGCCTTCAATTCATCTCAAAATACATGAAAATGAGGGCACAACCATCGACACCTTTATCAGTGAAATTAGAACAGAAAGCAGCAACTTATAATGATCATAACGATACAGACACAATATTTGAGCTTGTTGAGACGAATGAGGACATAAATGATGAACTGGATAATACATATGATGATGAGCAAGATGATTCAAACAAGACAAAGAAGCGACGAATAGAAATTTCGACAAATAATGACAGTTTGCAGCCTAGAACCATCGAGTATATAATCAATGAAGAATCTGAATTCATTCCAACGAACGAGCAACCTAATGAAACCAGAGGATCTGAACATAAAGTTTTTGACAGCAAAAAGTTTAAGCGAAAAAGTAAAGCTTTTGGAATTTACGTTGGATGTCTAATGAGAGACTTGAATGATGACAAGCTGTTCTATGAAGCTCAGAATGAGATTCTTAAAGTAATCGAGAAGACTACACAAAAAATGGTACAAAAGTGACAAAATTGATCTTGATAAAAATTTATTAAACAAAAAATAATTTGAATCTTTCTTTTTAATGAGACATTCAGTTCAATGCAGGCAGTCCGCACGCTGTTAGTTTTCATTTGACATACAAAGCGTGGTCCGCTTAAATTATAAAAAGTAACAATTTAATTAATATTTAAACGATTCTCATAAGCTGCCCATAAACGGTCACGGTATGTCTTTGCAACTTCAACTGGATTCTTACTTTCGATGATTCCACGGCCAACAACTGCAATGTCACCTCCTTTTTCGTTAATTATATATTCCGGTGTATTATATTTTTGACCAAAGTCATCACCGCTTTCTTCTAATCTACATCCAGGACTTAATTGGATTAATCCAGCATCATCAATTAAGTTTGGAGTTTGTGCGACGATCCCGGCTACAATGTCCGAAAAATCTTTAATCATGTCCATAGTTTGACCGCTGTATTCTTTGGACAGTAAATTTCCTTCACTTGACATTTCTGCCAATAAAAAAATTCCCAATTGATTCTTATTACTCATAGCTGATTTTAATCCTTTCAAAATTCCACTTCCCGGCAATGAATGAGCAGTCAAAAGATCAGTCCACTCTGATATTTTATAAACACCCTTACTAAACTGTAGTGAAACTGTATTTCCAATATCAGCAAATTTGCGATCCTCCATCAGCATAAAGTTATGCTTTTCAGCAAGACCTTTGAGGGACTTAATAAAATCGTCATTAAAATCCTCAATTATATCCACGTGAGTCTTGAGTACACAAATATATGGCCCCAAAGATTCTGCCAAATTTAGAATTTCGTCAGTCTTTGTGACGTCAGCAGCTAAGCATAAGTTCGTCTTCTTTAATTCCATTATTTTAAATAATGTTTTAGCAACTTCATTCTTTGCAATGTCAGCACGTTTAGTAAAACTCATTTGTAAGCGAGACATTTTAGGCTTGCTGTTTTCAATCGGTTTGGAGATATAATCATTTAGAGTTTTAGCCAATTCCTCATTAATCTTGTTATCGTCTTTTAATACGTTAATTAAATAAGGTAAAGTAAATAGGGAATGCATTTTAATTCCATTCTTATCAAGATGTTGTGAACCGCCCTGTTGTCTATCCACAACAACAATTGCATCTTCAACGACTAAACCTTCATTTCTCAAATCCTTTGTAGTCTCCAATATACTTGATCCAGTGGTGACAACATCTTCAATTATTAAGCATGTCTCTTCCAACTGGAACTTTCCTTCAATAAGCTTCTTCGTACCATAACTTTTAGCTTCCTTTCTGCGAATTAACATTGGTTGGCGCATTTTTACAGACAATAATGTTGCCAATGGAAGTGCTGTATATGGAACGCCGCAAAGTTGATCACACTGAATTTCCTTATCCTCAATAAATTTATAAATACAGTCAGTCAATTTTTGCATGACATCTGGATATGAAATGATGACTCGCAGATCAAAATATACAGGACTAATTTCACCAGATTTCAACGTGTATGATCCAAATTTAAATGCTTAATAAAAAGACAATCCACCATTATAAATAAAGAAAGCCGGAAAATGTGAAAATTAAGAAAAATATAATTTACCAGATATTTGATACAGCCTAAGTGCCAGTTCTTTCTTTTCCTTATCTAATGACGAAACCATCTTCAATGCCTGTCTATTTATTTAATTATAGATTGTAGTTTAAGCTAAGCAAATGATAAACTCACGAACTTTTTTTGGTGCCAATATTAATTTTGTTACCCGATGTAAAAATAAGATTCTATGTTTCAAAATAAATACGTTATTATTATATGTTTTTTTGCAAAAATCTAATTAAATCTGCTGTAATTAAGTAATCGTCAACAATTATTTGGTAAGGATTATATTTAACCTTTAGCTGTTGGTTTAAAAACTGAATCAAATTATGAAATTTAAATGTTGTCCATCAAAAACAAGATTTTTACGAGTTTATTCTGATAACAACAGAATAATTCTGATGAATGTTGCGTGACATGGATGTGACAAAAAAAAAATCAGTCAGAATAATTCTGAAGAACTTATTTTTATTCTGCTGAATTAAAGTGAGTGGACAAACAATTAGAAATTTTTATATTTTACAAATTTATCCCTTATCTTTCCATGAAACCTATTAAAGTTATATATTTTTCGAAAGCTCATCTAATTTCCAATATGATGATTAGAAAAGTTTTGGAAAATTTGCAAGTAATATAGTCACTTTATGTAAAAAACGCATGTTATATATGCAAGTTTTTAATGTTTTTCATTTTTCTCAGCAACGACTTTATGAAAAGCTTTCAAATTTTGCACACTCATTTCTTATATAAATGTTGATAATTCGTATAAGTTTCAGAATTTTTATTGAGTTTTTCACGAGTTTTCCTAACCTGAATTTTTCACTATTTAAATTAATTTTTCTCGATAACTGCGCACTGTTATTAGATGCTGTTCATTTTTTTTTTCATTTTTCAATAGCATTCCATTGATATATAACAAGCTAGGAAAAAGTATGAGACAAGAGAGAAATCAATAAAAAAGTGTGAAAATTGTGAAAAATGTATAAAAATTTCGTAAATTCTCAGAATTTATTTTGCTTTTTCTGGTTAAACTAATAAAATTTCATAAAAGTTTTATACATTTTTGGAAAGGTCTAGCTTAGGACTTTCATTCACTAGAAACCGCATGAGTCTACGATAAGCACAAGTAAAGTTATAGAAGCTTGAAGTTGGTAACGTAAAAAATTATCTAGGTATTATAAATGATAAGAAATGCTTATATAGATATAAAATCGATATTTTTTTGAAAATAGCCTACTATGATCAAAAACCAAAAATACTTTAATATGCATTTTAAAACATATCTAGGTATTATAAATGATAACAAATGCTAATATTGATATAAAATCGATATTTTTTTGAAAATAGCCTACTCTGATCAAAAACCAAAAATGCTTTAAATTGCATTTTAAAACATATCTAGATATTATAAATGATAAAAAATGCTAATATAGATATAAAATCGATATTTTTTTGAAAATAGCCTACTATGATCAAAAACCAAAAATGCTTTAAATTGCATTTTAAAACATATCTTGGTATTATAAATGATAACAAATGCTAATATATATATAAAATCGATATTTTTTTTGAAAATAGCCTACTATGATCAAAACCAAAAATACTTTTAATTGCATTTTAAAACATATCTAGGTATTATAAATGATAAAAAATGCTAATATAGATATAAAATCGATATTTTTTTGAAAATAGCCTACTATGATCTGCTATGATCGAAAACCAAAAATGCTTTAAATTGCATTTTAAAACATATCTAGGTATTATAAATGATAACAAATGCTAATATAGATATAAAATCAATATTTTTTTGAAAATAGCCTACTATGATCAAAAACCAAAAATTCTTTCATATGCATTTTAAAACATATCTAGGTATTATAAATGATAAAAAAATGCTAATATAGATATAAAATCGATATTTTTTTGAAAATAGCCTACTATGATCAAAAACCAAAAATGCTTTAAATTGCATTTAAAAACATATCTAGGTATTATAAATGATAACAAATGCTAATAAAGATATAAAATCGATATTTTTTTGAAAATAGCCTACTATGATCAAAAACCAAAAATGCTTTAAATTGCATTTTAAAACATATCTAGGTATTATAAATGATAAAGAATGCTAATATAGATATAAAATCGATATTTTTTCTGAAAATAGCCTACTATGATCAAAACCAAAAATACTTTAAATTGCATTTTAAAACATATCTAGGTATTATAAATGATAAAAAATGCTAATATAGATATAAAATCGATATTTTTTTGAAAATAGGCTACTATGATCTGCTATGATCGAAAACCAAAAATGCTTTAAATTGCATTTTAAAACATATCTAGGTATTATAAATGATGACAAATGCTATTATAGATATAAAATCGATATTTTTTTGAAAATAGCCTACTATGATCAAAAACCAAAAATGCTTTAAATTGCATTTTAAAACATATCTAGGTATTATAAATGATAAAGAATGCTAATATAGATATAAAATCGATATTTTTTCTGAAAATAGCCTACTATGATCAAAACCAAAAATACTTTAAATTGCATTTTAAAACATATCTAGGTATTATAAATGATGACAAATGCTATTATAGATATAAAATCGATATTTTTTTGAAAATAGCCTACTCTGATCAAAAACCAAAAATGCTTTAAATTGCATTTTAAAACATATCTAGATATTATAAATGATAAAAAATGCTAATATAGATATAAAATCGATATTTTTTTGAAAATAGCCTACTATGATCAAAAACCAAAAATGCTTTAAATTGCATTTTAAAACATATCTTGGTATTATAAATGATAACAAATGCTAATATATATATAAAATCGATATTTTTTTTGAAAATAGCCTACTATGATCAAAACCAAAAATACTTTTAATTGCATTTTAAAACATATCTAGGTATTATAAATGATAAAAAATGCTAATATAGATATAAAATCGATATTTTTTTGAAAATAGCCTACTATGATCTGCTATGATCGAAAACCAAAAATGCTTTAAATTGCATTTTAAAACATATCTAGGTATTATAAATGATAACAAATGCTAATATAGATATAAAATCAATATTTTTTTGAAAATAGCCTACTATGATCAAAAACCAAAAATTCTTTCATATGCATTTTAAAACATATCTAGGTATTATAAATGATAAAAAAATGCTAATATAGATATAAAATCGATATTTTTTTGAAAATAGCCTACTATGATCAAAAACCAAAAATGCTTTAAATTGCATTTAAAAACATATCTAGGTATTATAAATGATAACAAATGCTAATAAAGATATAAAATCGATATTTTTTTGAAAATAGCCTACTATGATCAAAACCAAAAATACTTTAAATTGCATTTTAAAACATATCTAGGTATTATAAATGATGACAAATGCTATTATAGATATAAAATCGATATTTTTTTGAAAATAGCCTACTATGATCAAAAACCAAAAATACTTTAAATTGCATTTTAAAACATATCTAGGTATTATAAATGATGACAAATGCTATTATAGATATAAAATCGATATTTTTTTGAAAATAGCCTACTATGATCTGCTATGATCGAAAACCAAAAATGCTTTAAATTGCATTTTAAAACATATCTAGGTATTATAAATGATAACAAATGCTAATATAGATATAAAATCAATATTTTTTTGAAAATAGCCTACTATGATCAAAAACCAAAAATTCTTTCATATGCATTTTAAAACATATCTAGGTATTATAAATGATAAAAAAATGCTAATATAGATATAAAATCGATATTTTTTTGAAAATAGCCTACTATGATCAAAAACCAAAAATGCTTTAAATTGCATTTAAAAACATATCTAGGTATTATAAATGATAACAAATGCTAATAAAGATATAAAATCGATATTTTTTTGAAAATAGCCTACTATGATCAAAAACCAAAAATGCTTTAAATTGCATTTTAAAACATATCTAGGTATTATAAATGATAAAGAATGCTAATATAGATATAAAATCGATATTTTTTCTGAAAATAGCCTACTATGATCAAAACCAAAAATACTTTAAATTGCATTTTAAAACATATCTAGGTATTATAAATGATAAAAAATGCTAATATAGATATAAAATCGATATTTTTTTGAAAATAGCCTACTATGATCTGCTATGATCGAAAACCAAAAATGCTTTAAATTGCATTTTAAAACATATCTAGGTATTATAAATGATGACAAATGCTATTATAGATATAAAATCGATATTTTTTTGAAAATAGCCTACTATGATCAAAAACCAAAAATGCTTTAAATTGCATTTTAAAACATATCTAGGTATTATAAATGATAAAGAATGCTAATATAGATATAAAATCGATATTTTTTCTGAAAATAGCCTACTATGATCAAAACCAAAAATACTTTAAATTGCATTTTAAAACATATCTAGGTATTATAAATGATGACAAATGCTAATATATATATAAAATCGATATTTTTTTTGAAAATAGCCTACTATGATCAAAACCAAAAATACTTTTAATTGCATTTTAAAACATATCTAGGTATTATAAATGATAAAAAATGCTAATATAGATATAAAATCGATATTTTTTTGAAAATAGCCTACTATGATCTGCTATGATCGAAAACCAAAAATGCTTTAAATTGCATTTTAAAACATATCTAGGTATTATAAATGATAACAAATGCTAATATAGATATAAAATCAATATTTTTTTGAAAATAGCCTACTATGATCAAAAACCAAAAATTCTTTCATATGCATTTTAAAACATATCTAGGTATTATAAATGATAAAAAAATGCTAATATAGATATAAAATCGATATTTTTTTGAAAATAGCCTACTATGATCAAAAACCAAAAATGCTTTAAATTGCATTTAAAAACATATCTAGGTATTATAAATGATAACAAATGCTAATAAAGATATAAAATCGATATTTTTTTGAAAATAGCCTACTATGATCAAAACCAAAAATACTTTAAATTGCATTTTAAAACATATCTAGGTATTATAAATGATGACAAATGCTATTATAGATATAAAATCGATATTTTTTTGAAAATAGCCTACTATGATCAGAAACCAAAAATACTTTAAATTGCATTTTAAAACATATCTAGGTATTATAAATGATGACAAATGCTATTAT